CCCTCGAAACAATACGTCGACGGGAAACTTTGCTCGCGTCCTAACAAGTGATATTTCGTCCCGTGCCGCTATATCGTAATACATACGCAGTACAGACGACTAACGTAGTTGCGCTACGAAATTCAATATCGCTTATGAGGTTGCACGTATATATATAGTGGTAAGGCGTCTCAAGCGAACACGCGTCAAAGGGTAAGCCGATCGATTTGTTTTTTCTCCCCCGACATTAAAATGATCAAGTACCACAGCAGCTCGGTACGACTGGTGCTTGTCTCCCGCCGATTTCACCCCCGCATCTATGCCAAGTAAGCCCGCCAAAGGTAAAAATCGCTGAGTAACCGAGTCGACGATAGCGCAAAAAACTAGACGCAGCCCCTTTTTAAGCGACGACAAAGATTACACCTGATGCATCCGTAACGGGGCATATACAAGTAATAGCAACGCGTTCGCTTTGTATTTCGTGTGTACGAGTACGCACACGTAGACGCGCAGCAACCGATCTCGCGCGTGTATATAGCGCGGCTGTCGTGCGCAAGAGCAGCAGCGGTCCGAGTATCAGGCTGGCATGAGGAGTGCGAAAGTGCTCGTATCGTTTGCTTGGCTTTTGCTTGTCGAGCCGAGGAGGAATTGAGATACGTGTACACCTCCTCGGTGTGTATAATATTATACAGAGTGCGAGCGCGCGCTTGTGTCATCCTGTTATATATACGTTCAGTAGAACGCGAGACTGATCCGATGAGGGGTATTTACGAGGATCGATCGTTGTTGTTTTTTATGTAATCTTTAAGGATGAAAATCTTGTGTTGTTCGAAATTCGTTCTAAAAGTGTTCCATAACGATCAACAATTTACATTCGCTACTGGAGAGGAATGGAGACGTTTTTTCTAGCTGCCGCGATTTTGTCGCTCAACTCCGCTAGTTTTGGAAAATTGCGATGGATTTTAACACGTAGAATAATTGTATAGCGATAGCACTGTCGTCACTAAAACCACCGCAGAAGACTAACGAATGTTTTGTGCAAGTGATTAGTTCCCAAGTATACAATGACCCAGCTAATGACACGAGGGTTTTAAGTACTATAAGTATGTCATTTATGTGGTTAAAGAAATTTTCTCGAACGTTTCAACATTGGAAAAGTGGTGCAGTATAATACTGTGGAAAGATAACGCATTTTTTAAACTTACAAAAATCTATATTTACATTGAATTACAAAAATCATCTACAACATCCCCCAGTTTGGAAAACAGCCACTTTATCGCCTACCAAGTATTTACCAGAGCGTATTTTAGTGATGAACAGAAAATTATGATATCTCTAAAAAGAGGACCAAAAATTTTCCTAAACCTTTCAAGAGAATATTATAGCCTTGCTCACGATTCAAATAAGTAACGCCTACAAAAAAAATGAACTATTTTACAAGCTGCAAAAAAAATTATAACAACAGTCTTTGATCTGTTATGCATTGAGGCTAATGATCATCAACGGTAGTCAAGTTGGAACAAATTCCATTTTTTGGAAGTGTCTCAGCCCGAACGTTTAATTGACAATCCCTTGGAGTCGTTGCCTTGCACGTTATTAAGTAAGAAAGGGCTTTGCGAAAGGTCTGGCTGTTCCAAGCGTAGATTAAAGGGTTCACACCACTGTTTAGCATTGCTATGAAGCACAATGCGTGTCGCATGTCTCGACTAGGTTCAATCTCTGCTTTCGAAAATTGTACAAACGATATGATGACGTAGGGTAGCCAGCAAATCGTGAAACAGCCCAAGATGGAAAGCACGACCTTATCGGAGGAAAAAATATACAAGTAAATAACTCATTATCTAGAAGAAGAACACTATAATTGAGATTTAAGTATACATGTACACGTGTACGTATACCTGATTGCTCTTGTTGTAGTTGCCGTGTTTGTTTGATCCAAGCTCGTTCAATCTTTTTAGGTGTGCTCTCACTTCTCTCCAAATTTTCCAATAAAATACAAGTATACTTATCCAGACTATCAAAAACATTGGTATTAAAATAACGTTCAAATAGTACCTGAAAAATTAAATTTTTATGTATAGTTCATCGGCCAGTGACAAAATATGACAATTTTACTCCACTGCACGCACCTGGGGATGAAATTGAGAAGCTTGCATTTTTTTGTCGACTGATACGTGTTCCAGTAAAGAGGAATCGTGGAAATGAAAATAGCTGCGCACCAGTTGACAATTACCACCACATTTATCAATTTTTTGGTAATGTACGTGGGATACTCGAGCGGATGGACGATGGATACGTAGCGATCGATGGCTATTGCTGTGATGTTGAAGAAACTCGCGGTACAAGCACCACAAATCAACACAAACCTGTTAAAAAACTATTTTTTGTAAGTATCACTTTACAACGGATACTCTACTTACTAAGTAAAGATAAATCGTTTTTCATTACTCGCCTCAGTAAACAGGATAATTTGTAGTGCTTGAGTGATGGGTAACAGAAAACGGCTAGATCGTACAATACCGCTAAACCTACGCACAGATCTGAAACGGCGAGGCTGAATATCAGGTGGTTTGAGGTGACGCTGTAAAGTTTACGGTTCAATCTCCCTGCGAGGATGGTCATCGAGTTTCCGAGTAAAATTATTGTTATCAACACCACATCTGCTATCCAGTACATGCTTATTTTGTCGCACATGTTTCTTTAGGATGAAAAACACAAACGCGTCTCATTTGACTAAGCAACAGTTTTCATCCGCGTCCTTATAATTGGTACAAAACATTTTTCACAAAACTAGTTTTATTGTTGGACCGTTTACACCACTAAACAACTGTACAAAAACGAATAGCAGTGACCAACTATTGACGTTACTCGTATAAGTAAATATAGAAACTGACGAGTTTGAAAGCTAATCGTCATCCACGATTATTTAGTTTAAATGCTTTACGCCTTAATTAACTTGTTCTTCGAAAACCTATTACCATTTCGGTTATCTCCATCAGATAAAATTGTAATGTATATAAATCAGCTAAACCATATTCACCGTTTTAAATAATATTTTCCCGAGGGCATTCGATATTTAGGTCGATCAGTTGACATTTGACCCACGAGGACCCCAACAAAATTTTACTTCACCGGAGGACTTTTTTTTTTATCCTCCAACAATATCACTGCAGAAAGGATGAATATTTTCATCGTAGTTACGGTGAGTGTGAAAAAAACCCGAACCAAGGTACCGATGTAGACAAAGATGAATCCGAAAGTACAAAAACAAACGAAGCATACACGGATCGATGTATTAAAGAATCAACGTACCTGATAATATAAAGAGGACAAGTAAGACTACTGTATTTGCACGGAGGTCGAAAAAAAGTGAAGACTGCAGTAGCATCGTTGTCCACGTGTGCTGCAGGCAGGGGTAGTTTTAATTATGCCATTACAGCCGAGGAAGGCTGCAGGCGGGTTGAGAGGCTGCAAGCGCAGAATACCGTCTCATGCCCTCTCAGCACGTGCACGTCAGCGGAGGTGGTGGTGATGGGTTACAGGGGAGGAGGGGGAGGCCGGACGCGCAACCCTCCTCTTTCGGGGGGCTTAAATTAATATGGCGCCTAGAGCGTCCAGATAATCCAAATTCCACGCCAGGCAACCAACGAGCTGTGTGTGGGTACGTGCACACGCACTGCTTCTCAACGTGACGGGATGTGTGTGTGTGTGTATATTTTCTTTCATGCCTGCGAGCCACTTCCGGTACTTGCACGTGCATATTAAGAGGTCTGTTGTTTAAATAACAACTTTTTTTTTTCATCCCCTATTCTGCGCTGATTTTTGTATAGCCTATACCACTCATACTGTACCTTCGAGTATCATGCACGCGTTTTTTGCATAAGCCCGTGCCGCAGGTAGCCCCCGTTTATCTGTGGATTAAATTATATACATGGGGTGCGAATGGCGCGCTTCTTTAAAACTCGAATAATTAAAAGCTGGGTCGTCTCAATGATCGAGTTACTTTTGTAACCCGGCGAATAAGCCCACTGGCTGAATTTATTGTTGTTTACTTTTCCAAGCTGCGAAATAATAAACAGCCAAGTTTTCTACGTAACCGGGAGCCCAGTGGCGATAAACCGATCTGCGGAATAACTCCCTTAAAAGTTTCCAAGTAGGTATACGCCGACAGCACGATTCAATGAGGCGGTGGGGATTTTATTGTACACGGGGTAGGTGTATATATATATATATATATATACACGTAGAATAATTGTATAGCGATAGCACTGTCGTCACTAAAACCACCGCAGATATTATCACTTTGTTTTATATGATATTTTCTTTGAGCGTTACCTACGATAGCTGTTTTAACACTTTCAACGCTTGTACAACAGTGTATCTGCTGTAATTCATCATGTCAAGCACTATACAGGACCTCTGAGTCCTTAGTGCCAAATAAAGACTTACTNATATATATATATGTATGCGCCGAATAAACTGGATTCAAAAGTATTTGCATAATCCCCTTTGCCCGCGAACTGCGAACTTTTAATTAATGGGCGATTAAGTTTTGTGCGAGGAATAAGAAATACTCGAGCTGTGGTGGCCTTCTCCTTTAATTGGATTCCTGTCATTGTTACAGGAACATAGTTTATTGTTTCGTCGTGTTTCTTTGAGAAATCACAAAAAAAAAAAAAAAAAGATATCGAACAAGTCACATCAACACTCTTTGGCTAGTTTTATCCACCGAAACAATATTAATTTTCTTGAAAGAAAAAAAAATGAAAACCAGAGACTGTTTTTCATTGAGCAACATAAAAACTGAACAAAAAAGCACAATAGAGACATTTTTTTAAGTTACCACAAAAAAAGGATCAAACAAGTAGTATCAATACTCTTAGGCTATTTTTATCCATGAAAATAGTATAAATTTTCTTAAAAAGAAAAAAACGCAAGTACAAAAACATTTTTTTTTAAATTGAACAATACAGACATTAAACAAAAAAGCCCAATGGAGACATTTTCAGAGAGACACTCACCGTTTCTCGCCTCGTATCTGTCCTCGTCCTCGTCCTCTTCGTTCTCCCCGCTGTCCTCGCCCTCGATCCCCTGCGTCTGCACAACTCTCGGAATTTCTGAAACGTGACGTAGAAAAAAAAAATCCTCGATTACGCAGAGTCAGTGAAAACGAGCTCTCGAAAAAAAAAAAAAAAAAAAGGGTCCCAGTGACAAGAAGGGACGATGGTTCTCCCAAGGCGCCGCAGGACGAAGGAGTCCTCGTTCCCGTTAATTGGCGCGCCGATTTTTCCCAGTCCCCCCCGAAAAGGCGTGGCGCTCTCGGAGTCTTAATTTATTTATCGGCCCCCCGAGATGGCTCGTTTTTTCCCTCTCGCCCATCCAAAATCCCGCTCCCGAGTGCCTCTTACGGCGCGAGATCCTTAATCGCAGGTCCTCTGATGGGACCGGTCATTACGTCGAGGCTCGTGTAATCGACTGCTTCACGCGGAGATTATTATTCCCACTGCGGGGATATCGCGCACTTGGGGTTTTCGACGAAAATTGGCACCTGCCGTTGGGAAGTAATGAGAGTATTCTACAAAAGCAAAGTTATTATGTAAACAGAGACCCCGTGAAAGTCCCTATAACCGATTCGAGTTCAAAAACTTTTCCAGTTCGGTAACTGTGGGCAAAATTAAAAAACAGAGTTTTTGCGCAACAGATCGGCAACACGTACTTATATTAATGTTGTTTGCGGACGACAGTAACATGACGTTTCGATTTTGTTACCGTGGGCAATTAAAATTGCTCCGCTGGCGAGTCCAATCGCGTTTGTTTTGTTACATAAATCCGTATTGTAGTCGAGGTGAATGGGGGGAGGGGAAAGAGTCGAAAACCGATTGCCGATCGTAATGTAACTTTGTAGAGCAACAGGTGTGTACCGATTAGCGCGGGAAAAGGAAAATCGATTGAATAACGTGTACAAGAGATACTGAGACTCACTGATGCAGGGGGCAATGTGGGATCGGCTCTGCTGGTAGCCCCGCGCGCACCGGTTGCAAGTGATCCCCGTGACTCCGTCCTTGCAGGGGCACTGACCGGTGCTCTGGTTGCACGTCTTGCCCGAGGCGCCGATCGGATGACAATCGCAAGCTGCAACACAAAGAGAAAAATCGATTGTTAAAAGGTTACCTTTTTTTTTTTTTTTTTTTTTCGTACATTGGTATTTTTGGTGCTTAGGTGTTTGTTCGTACTCTCCAAGCATGCGTGTATTTATTTTACCCACTTTTCCTCACAACGAGAGATGCAGAAGAGAAAAAAAAATCAACGCAAGCCCGGCATTGTATGCATATTTATGTTTACAGTTATACGCATTCAAAACGAGTGCTCTCTCGCGCGTGCACGAGTATGCATCCTGTACCGCGCATCGCCGCGTGGGGCAAATGGTACATATGAGTTTTTCTCGCGAGCCTTAAAGAAAAAAAAAAAAAAAACCTGGTTCGTTTTCATTTTCATTCACTCTTTGTTTATCGAGATCTTGCGTGTGGCTGTACGCGCCTCTGTATGGCGGTGAATGTTATTCAAGTAGGTATCTCCTTTTTCTCAGACCTGAGATGGAATGACAGTTGAAAGTGGATTTTTGCCGAAATAGCCGTGCGAAAGATGTTATGGCTGATACTTGTACTTACTGACTTTTTTTTTCTTTTTTCCACGACAGAGTCGATTTCTATTCCCCAAAGCATGTTTGAATGCGAAAAACATTTAAAAAGATCCCTAAGAAAGCAAAAATCTGAAGAATAAACATCTCAAAATTTTTCACACTGCAAACTCTATCGTGAAGTGAAAAAAAATACAGACAAATAAAAAAACGGCACGAATAACGGGTCGTGGCTCGAAGGAAAAAAAAAAAAAAAAAACTTTAAATGAAGAAATCGAGCCTCTACCTGTAAAACACACATCCCGGATGACCACAAAAATGTTCAATCACCTCTCGACGCGTATTATACAAACACAGCCCGAGTAGGTGGTCTCATTGCAGAGTCAAGTCCCCGTGGATTTAAACTCGTGATTGCTGGGACAAACACTCGACTAAGCCATTGCCAGCGGAAATCCCTCGTCCTCTCGAGAGTCACAACTGTACACACTTGCTGTACTTGCAAGGCATAGGATGTAGGTCTAGAGTGAACGATACCGTGTATACCCACACGCGGTCGAGGTAAGAGCAACGAATGTAGATTCGCGGCTATCGATGTCTTTAATGCTCGAGCTTGGCCCTCGAGTGTTACTGGGAGCACTTAATTGCGCGGGCTCGTGTTTCAGGATGTATTCCACGTGTAATGTACGCGAATGTGTCAATATTGCGTGATCGTACAAGATGGTGAAGGCTTCTTTTTTCCATTTTAAATATTATTTTTCGAGATTTGGTCTATCGGGGATTGCAAAATACAGTAATCTGGTGAAAATTATTTTCAAGCCAAGAGGTACAATTCAAAGGTGGCATTGATAAAATATTTTATTGTTTATAATCGTGATGGGTGCATTTAAGCGTAAAAAAAAAAAAAAAGAAATACAATTTTACGATTAAAGATCAAACACGTTCCGCTCAGCGGATTACAAATATTTTTTTTACTACCTGAAAACGATATTAACGCATCGTAAAGACGAGCAAAAAAAAAAAGGAATCATCGACTGGGTCTGTAAAAATATCAAGCTCCCTTAATCCCCTCGCTCTTTCGAGATGCTTTTTACGAGACGCGATAAAAGAGGCGATTGATTCTCAAAGCGCGAGTATTGGTCGGGACTTTTTTCGGCATAAAACTTCCTCGGCTCCCTTTTTTCGTCCTCCGACCGAAGGGATTGCCGAAACTGCACGCCACCAGTACTTTACACCCCGTGCATATATACACACGTGTGCAAAATAAGCGGCCAAAGAAGGTCGTAGCTTGGCGTTAGAGTGCACGTACACACACGCAGAGTCGAGGAAATTCGCCGCGGATTAACTTTATCTCTCGACCCCTTTTACTTCTTCTCCTTCGCGTTTTTGCCCCCCCCCCTCAGGTACTTATGTCCCCTGCCAGGGTCGAGTTGCTTCCTTTGGCGCGCCACCCGTGGTATCTCTCCCGAGCTATTGTCACCGCTGCCGCGTACGGGGCACCGATCCTGACCTATTGTGCTCGTTAAAACGGCTGTTACACTGCTACGTAACATTCAAGATGGGAGTCGTCCCACTTTTGCGATACCCTTTTGTGGAACGCCATTGAGTTCCTCTTTTGGATACAATGGCACAAACAGTTGGCGTGTTTATCATTTGTCAGTGGAACAAAGAAAGCCGAACGTGACGATGATTAAACCGTTGAATAACGAAACAAAAGCGCTTTGAGATCATCTTCTTTCTCCGCGTTCCGAAATAACGTCCCTCGTAAAAATTCACACCTCCCCGAATCACCGTGTACAAGCTCCGATAGCGATTCCGTTGAAGAGACAAACATCTCCGGACCGTCGAGAGCCGAGGGCGATATTTCAAGAGGCCGGATCCTCGCGAGCAAACACCCACGCGCTCTCTTATCGCGGATGTCCTCGCGCGCTCATCGAGAGCCTCGTCGCGAGGATTACTCGATTTTGCGGCGAGTTCCGTTGCACAGCCACCGGTTGACTCCGGGACAATCATTCGTGAACTGGATACTGTGGAGCTCAAGTACACGCTTGCATTAACACATAAAACCGTGTGATGATAAATATTTCTGATGAGTGAACTTTTTTTTCCATTGAATTGTAATTACGATGAAAAAGTGTGGAAATTTGAAAATGTAATGCGAACGGGATGAAAAAAAAAAAAAGAAAAAAAAAAAGAAATGGAAACTACGTTGGTATGCAAAGACGGGATTTTGCAATAACGAGTTTATTCAAATGCGTTCCCGTTTCGAAGACAATGAGACACGGGAGTGAATTTATTGGCAATTACACGTATGCTAGGCTTACTCAGAAACGCGCTGGACGATGTTGGGGTGAATATTAACGCGTTATTGATAAACCAAAGGAGGAGAAGGAGCGTGAGATCATCGCATCGTATGGACAAAGTTTGAGGGACAAACGAGATACTTTACGATCAACGTTCAAATCGGCGCAACCGAATACCTTTCCATGGGCGTCGGATGCTTATCTTCGCGAAAATGGCACCTCTCGTGCAAATCCAATCATTCGCGCGTTACAAGCTACGGTATAGAGACACGCGGCAATTAATCGCCGCATAACCGTTTGTGACCGTGCACAGTCGTGTGGAAGAACTTTTTCTCATTCGACACCGCAAGGGGAACCACAACAACAACGCACCAAAGATCATATTAAAAGTCCGGTACATGATTACGATTTTATCGCCACCTTCTCTCGGACGCTCTCTACTCGGTGCGCGTTTTGTTGGTAATTTTTTCGTCCCCGCTTATAAAAAAAAAAAAAAAAAAAAGCACAAAACATGGACTCTACGAATTGCCGAACGTCAACCGGAGCTGGGCTTATCTCCCAGGGGGTGGACGAGGGAGCTGCTGGGAGTAATTATTGAATCTCGTAGTGGTATCTGCCTTGGAATATCTTTCTTTCTCCTCTCCGTGAGTGCATGTATGTATATGTTTGGGCGAGGCCTCGACGAGCTTCTAGTTGGAGAAAGTTGTGCGAGCATGCGTGCTTTATTGTCTCTTTAGCGAAAAACGACTTGGGGCGAGGAATGTGGCGAGGACCGAGTACCTGTTTGTGCCTCGCGACTCGCGTTATCGTCACTGGGGACTTGCTTGTCGAAGCGCTCAATTCAGTCGTACTTGTATTACCTTGTATGAAATTGGAAACAAGTTTTCACTCATTGTCTGGATGATTTTTGTAAAACAACAGGAAAAAAGTCAGTCAAGCAAATAAATGAAATGTCATCCAATGTAATTTTTTCGTAAATCTTAATGTCTGGTAAAACGAGCACAGTGACGCGCAAGACCAAAAACAGACGAGAAACTGCAGGCTTCCATCGTTACTTTGCGAGTCTCCTTCAACGCGTACTGATCCAATTTTACGAGCCATTCTCCTCGAGACTCGCGCTCCGTGAATCCAACGATACTTTCAAAAGCCGAGCGTATAGACACTACACTATATTCATCAGCTCCAATTCCTGGGCAAGTCAATTTTCCGAGAAACGCTTTGCCTACCTCTCGTACGTACACGCATACACGAGCTTTTGAAAAGCTCTCGCGTGCGTAATTAGAACACAGCAGCCCTTTCGCCGTCGCATCTTGAAAGTAAGGCGACAAAGTGCCAGAGCAAAGAATATAATGTTGAAAAAAAAAAAAAATTAGTTTTCTACGCGCATAGTGCCAGTGTGGCCCTTGACATTTCTGCCTCCTCTTGCGCGTTACGCTTTTCCAGCCGGCAGACTATAAACTCGTATATTCAGGTGTAGGTAGGTGTTTTTGGTACGTATACATACACGTGTGTCTCCTCCGGAGCATAAGCCCGCGTCTGACGCACTTGTGACTTTTCGCCTGACTGTACGCTGATTTTTCTACTTAAAGCTGCGGCGGCCTGGTTTGGAAAATGACGCACCTTTTTTTCGCGCAAGACGGCTGAGGAGATTCTTCCTCTTTTCGTTTCTTGTCTTCTTTTTTTTACCGCGACAGCGCAAGAATCGTGAATTTTACAACGAAACGAGGGCTGCGCACCGCCGTTGGATTGCTTTTGCGAGGAATTAAAAAAAAACACACACACAACTGATTGACTCGCACCTTGTTCATCCGAAAGGGCATCCGAGCAAAAGAAAAACGAGGTACGACCAGACAGGTGGACAAAAGATGAGGGAGAGGGGAAGAAAAGCCTGGCCGTCCGAAGCTGCGGCGGTGGTGGCCGACTCAAGCAATGGGAACGCGATCGTCTACAAAGATAGGCCCGAGAGAGGCATACGCGTATATGCACGAGCCAAACATATCTCTTTCGAATCATTTGTACGGGGCATCGCGCACGTGTAATTGCACAATTGGCAAATGAATAACGGCTCTTTCTTCGCGAGCGAGCCTCTTTAGAGACTCTCCGCCGGCATTGTAAAAGAGCAATTATTTACGGCCGGTGATCGTTTCATCGTTAAATTTCATTAGCAAGTACGTACGTATACGTATATACTCCAA